CTTACGAGTTGGGCGTACAATATTTTAGTCATTCTACGCCTTGAGGTCGTGATACAATCACGTTATTTACCTCCGCGGTTGCACAGCAGCAAATGTCAGCAAGCTTCGCATCACACAGCCGGCCGATAAAGGTGTCATTCCCTTCTGCCAACACCTCTCACAAATCCTTACCATTCACGTTTTCTTGTGAGCACAGCAGGATCTTTGCAGAAGGTCATGCGCGCCAAAAGTTTGCTCCCACTGTCTTGGATTGAGGATTGTAATCCGTCCGGTCGTTCCCCGATCGCTTTTCGCGATTCTGCTGTGGTAGTGCTACGCACGACGAGTGTAACATGTCAACAGGGGACAATATGAGTGGGTGACCACAACTACTGTACTATACTATCAATGTCCCACCAAAAATAACGAGGGCGAGCCCAGCTTGGTGATCACGTAGTAGGTAAGTGTTGCCCTTGGAAACGGCAGGATTGGACCTGTTTCAGATCTGCAGCAAGAATACCCGGATGGAGCGGCATTGGCAAAAGCACCCCAGTCTCGCGTAAACTCAGCGCACACCTCTACTCAAAAGATCGTGAGAAGAGGAAAGTGGTGCACAAAGCGCAACAGCCCTTGAGAGACCTCAAGATCTTCGGCACTCACAATCAATTCGACCAAGTCCTCCACGACCTTCCCCTCGTAACTTGCCGGGCCTTGAAGGCTCTCTGCCGTGCCGGCTCGCCAAAAGTCCATGGTCGGGATGCTTCTGCAGAATGGTTCGCTCTCCCCAACAAGGTAAGGCATTCCCCGCCATTGATGTCGAAATCCATGCGTCGTTGTCTTTACACATGGCTCCTACATCCATGACGAGCAGACGGTTGTAATTACTCGTCAAACAAAACTGCCGTGATAGGTCATGATTGCAAGCAACCTCAAAACAACAAGCGAGCAGATCTCACATGTCATCTAAAAGGAGAAGAAATCCGCTAGCTTTTTCCATCGACACAGACACTTTCCGGAAATATCGTCCCGAATGTATCGGGAGTGGTGACGCATGGCATTTTTGTGTGGACTGAGCGAGCGCCGAGAACGCTGCCGATCAGGTACAGATCCCCGTGCTCGCCTATGGCAGAGATGAAACAGACCAACCGTGATAACCTTTTCATCTAGATATACTTGCATGCTCGCCGATAAGCTTTGCATTCAGATTACTTGCATGTGCTTGCCGATCAGGGTCATGTATGGCTTCATGAGTACGTTTCCAGGTTTCCAGACTCCAGAGATTAGGGAATGCGCACAGCTCTGGCGTCTGGCCCGGAAATGCTGGTTCTCAAAATGTTGGGTTCATATGGGGTGAGTGGGACTGTCAAGTCTGCCTGTGAGAACTTCTCTGGCTCGGAACCTCAGTGGATGGTGCTGTGGGCGAAGAGTATACTGATTCATCACAATCAAGCCACGAGGCTAGACGTTCTCCGAACGGGCGATATGAAGACAGCGAAGATTATATGGTCTCGTCGCACACGCTGCATGGCGCACGTGTACGGCTCTAAATGCACGTTGAACGGCTGTTCTAGCTTGGGGCATCACAGTTGTCGACGGTCAATTTCCCCAGGCCACCTACATGGCCCCCAGATGTGAGCCTGATGCGTTTGCCATAAGGCGGATATTGGAAAAGGTATGAGGTCGTCGTTGTCGTTGTCTTTAGCCCATCCAAGACTGAGAGTGCGAGTGGGCCTTAAACAACGCATTGTGGCCCAGACTCCATCGATACATTTGCACCGATGTTCAATACCGGCCTTGCAACATGTGGAAAGCGTGAGGACAATTGCTCTCTTGATGAGATCTCCAGGATGCATCTTGCTTCGCATAGACGCGTACCCGCTTGGGGTGCGGATGGATTATTGTGCAAGATGGCTGGAACCTTATGAATGCGAGGCCATCCATGTCTGACTCCAGAGGCCGTAAGGCTCCAAGCAAGGGTGAGCCTTGCAGCCCACGATATCAGTATTCGCTGCTCGCCAGCCCCGTACTGCATGTTGCTCCTAAAGTTCATGGTTCATGGATCATGATTCATGAGGTCCTGCGAATAATGGCAGTGTATCTCTTCATACCGAAAACACATCAAATGACTTTGATATTGTGAACGAGGTAAGGCCTGACAAAGTTTGTGTGGTTGCGACTTCGCCTCGCCAATATGGCCTCCACTGGGATTTACTCTTGCGAGATTGATCAACAGACTCAACAAAATACTGCTTTATTTCGGCTCCGAACTCCAGTAACGTATCTGTACGTCGAAGGTCTTGCACATGCCGTGCTTGCGTACAAGAGCAGCCCGTCACGTACTCGGAACCGTGTGAGAGAGGGCGGCAACGTTGTTTGCTAGTCGGCAGTCGCAACAAGTCTCTGAGTCGCTAGCATACCTTCCATTCATAGACGTCCATCACGTTCGCCTTTGGGTGCCAAGATGTCCGGCCGCATTCGCCCGAGGATCAGTGCCCCGTGGTGCCCAACATACTCTGCCAAAGCCGCTGAACACCCCACTCCTCAGGCCTGCCAGTTACCCACACCACCCACTTTGCTGGACATTTATCGCACATAACATTAATCAAACCTTGTCAAAAACTGCTCAAAATCATGTTCGAATAGTGTAGTGGTTATCACGTATCGTTCACATTTTGTGAGCCCAAATCCGATAAGGTCCCAGGTTCGAAACCTGGTTCGGTATGTTTGCTTTATCCTAGTATTCAAGCATCCTTCTGACGATATGTAGAACATCATACAACCCATACCAGTTGCCTTTATCTTTTTGGTCATGGAGACAAGTCCCTTTTTTGATTGCATGGGTAGAACGTATGAATGTCGCATATACAGTGGCATTGCCAACGATCATGGCTCTAGGTGACTATTTTTGCTATGGGTGAGTCTGGTTCCATTCTTGCAACCACGTCTTCACGGCCTCAATCTCCCTACTCTTCGCACTCTGATCAGCAACGGGTGCCTTGAATGTCGTTGTCTGGTTGGATAGGAATCCGTAAAAGTCCCATTCATGGTACGCTCCTTCTATCACGATCTGAGGCGCGGCAGTTGTACCGTTGCTCGCGATCCTCGGATTCGGCACCGCCGTGGTGTTCGGCAGAAACTCTGCCAACGGGCCTAGGGGCCTGTAGAAGTCGAATTGGCCTGTCGAGATTGCCAGTCGTGGATAAGACAGGTTCACACCTCCGTACTTGTTGTACCGCTGCAGTTGTGGGCCAGAAGTGATGTTGTAAGTCTGCTTGCATTGGTTGATGAAGTACTCTGGTGTTAGTGTGCGAGAGACCAAGGGCAGAGCGGCAGGATGGCCTGGGCTACCTGGAGTATATCCCGTCCCCCATTGACCATACTCTGTGCAGACGAGCCAATTGAATGGGGAAGGGCTGTAGAGGCTGAGACATTCTGCCACGGTTTGACCATGACAGTAGTTGTAGGTGTTGAGCACGAAACCCATGAAATTGAGCAAAGGATAGTACAACTCTTTGGCGTTGGGTGTTGCGGTCTTATTGGCATAGCTGAGCAACGAGCGGGCAGTAGCCTTGAGCGTGCTGCTCGCGTTGGCGACGTCTGCTTGGTTCGTGATGTAGCTGCAGTATGACCCCGAGCCTACTTTGTGTCAGCTCGACATGGCCACTCACAATGGTGGCAAGATACTTGCCGTTGATGGGAGTGTTTTGGTAAGCCCACCCCAGGTCCCATGCCTGTAGTGGCGTGGTGAGATATGATTGTAAATCTGGATATGGCGTGGATTCGGAGATATTGAATGCGGAGGTCAATTGCTGAAGCGCTGTCTTGTTGCCACTGCTGTACACATTGTCCATCAACCCGACGAGTTGTTGCTGGGTGCTGATACAGTCCTTCGGACCATAGCGTCGTACCACATCGTAGTAAGCCCAAGCGTCATCTATCGCTGTTGTTATTCCGGATGAAGATAACCCGCCCCAGAAGAGGTCGGGATACTGGATGCGGGTGAATGCAGAGATGACGCCGGCGTAGGAGCCTCCAATGATGATCCACGGTGTACCAGGCGCGGTCAGGTTCTTGTGCTCGAGGCCAGAGAACACTGCCCTCTGCGCAAAGTATGCAAGGTCGGCCAGCGCCTGTTCAGTGCTGTGAAACCGAAGGTTGCTGGTATTGTACTGTCCGAACGGGATGATGGTGCCCCCGGAATAGTAACTATACTCGATGTTCAGCTGGGCCATGACTCGGGGAAATAGACATACCGTTGGCCCCAAAGCACAGCAACTCCTCCAGTGGCATTGGCGATCTGGTGTACGAGCCCGCTTTGAAGCCAATCTAGATCGCCTACGCTATCTTCGCCCATGGCGTGAACAATAACGGGCCCTCCCTCAACGTAGTTGCTCGTGTCCAACCAGTAGTTTTGCTGAAAGGTGTTATTCGTATGAGGCGTATATCGAGATTCGTTCTGGAAATGGTCCACGGGTATCGTGAAGTTCTGCGTCCTGACTTCCTAGTCAGATTGGTTTTGAGGTGTTGAATGTCCTCGAGGAACTTTCACCAAAAGCTCATGGAAGACTTGTTTGAGACACAGTAGGACTCACGGATAGATGCTAGTCAACGGCTCTCCTTGAGACTGCCTCCTGAGAACTGCCTGGGACGTGCTGTGATGGTACCGACATCAGTACCAGATGCAACATTTTTTCGGGGTAATTGAATCCTACCTGAGGGAGACTATGCCCAAAAATTGGAGCAAGATTAGCAAAGCCATGTTGATAGTCGCGTGTAGATAGGAATATCTCAGAGCCATGCTGAATAGTGATGTGCAGCTGCTCTTATAAGAGTCTCGTCACTCTGCCTCTCCATCCAGAAGATGCCGATATCCGTGTTTAGCTTCACGATGTGCTGTGGTCGATGCAACGCTTGATCACGGCATCGCCAAGTTGCGTCGCGTCGCTGGTCAGCATATGACGCATCACTAGGTTGGGACCAGTATTCAGAGCAAGCAGGGAATGGATGGGGTAAGAACTTAGGGACCAGGGTGCTTCGCCCTTGAGCGCAAGCATCTGCTCTTTTGGTGCACAGCACATAAGCTAATGATGCGAGTGACGAGGCCGATGAGGAAGAACTCCTCGAACATGACCGAAGTTTGAAAAATCCGAAGCGTTAGTTACATGCTGACCGTCGGGGCAAGATGTTCGAATGAGACGTAATTTCCCCTGATTTTTGGAGAACGTTCTGGGGTGGCCCGAGCAGACTCCGTGGACGCCTTACTGTATATCACAAAGGAGATTGTGGAGATAGGGGCCATACCTCGAGGACTCTTAGGGACAACATCCTAATCTTGCTGCCTAGCATGTCGCTGCGCCTCTGCTTGACGCGTATGTAATGTCTCGGATCGAATTTGTAGAACATTAGGAGTGACTGTAAAACCCTGTTACGTGTATAATCACCGGCGCAAGGCGTATTCGCAGAGCTACATGAGCTGCTTTGATGCTGGCTAGCGGAGTCCTCGGTTCACTGTATACATGACCATAGCTATCATCCTACCAATCCATGAAGCCGTCCTTCGATACGGCCTTGCCAACATCAGCATCCCTTACACCCTCAACAACATCCCTGATGAATTCTCCACCAAGATGTGCCGGTTTGGCGCCGAGTTTCGCAATTTCGACGGGACCCAAGCCTCCAAGATTCGTTGCCAGCATACCAGGTGCAATGGCCCAGACTTTCACGCCGTCCGCTTTCAGCTTGTGGTTATAATCTAACATAAGCATGTTGAGAGCACATTTGGTACAGCGATACCCAATGGTCTCGAATGATATCTCCTTCGGCCACCCTGCTGGCTGAGGTGGCGTGGGCCAGTACTTCTGGCTTGCTTGGTTGATGCCGGATAGACCGGTGACAAACAACAGCCTCGGATCCGCGGATTTGAACAGCAGCGGCACGAATGTCCAGGTCATGACATTTGTACCTGCAACGTTCACGTCGTAGGCCTTGTTGAAGCTATCGCGCAGAGAAACATTCCCTTTGACGTACTCGATGTCGAAGGATGCCCCTGAAAACCTTAGCTTGGTTGGCAACTATTCTGGTGGGTGGAGTACGTACCTGCGTTGTTGACGAGCACATCGAGACGGCCATGATCAGCTGCGACATGCTCATATGCTTTCTGGATCGATTCGTCGCTGGTCAGGTCGAGTTGAACAGGTTCAACGATGTTGGTAGCCTCTGGACATTCTTTCTTGAGGGTTTCAATGGCTGTCTTTGCATTGTTCAACGAACGGCTGCCCATCAAAATGTGGTAGGGCTTGCTGGACTGCAGAAGCGCTTTGACAGCCTCATATCCGATCCCACCATTGCCCCCTACCACGAGTAAGTAGGTATGTGGGAATGCAGGGACATGCTTACCTGTCACAAAGGTAATAATGCGCGTTGCCATGGTTGTTTAGCCGCGTGTGTGCTGTGCTAGTGTCTGTATGGCTCTGGGACGACTCGGAAGGTTGATGGAGTTGAAGTCCTTGCTGCGACCTACCTGGGATCTTTATACCTTTCCACTGATGGAGCCATCCAGTTGTTGTTGCAGCACAAGAAGATGAACAGGCCTCATATTCCGTACTTACGGACCAATGGATCCGACCCAGCCGTGCACACATACCTTGACCTTGTGCAGACTTGCTTCCATATTGGGTTCTGGTGATGCTGCAGACGGCCAAGGACGGTATTCTGAGTTGGTAGACTATGCTGTTTCTGGCGAAACTGCCGACTTTCGACGTGTGGAGTACAAGTCAAGCTCTGCTGGACCTTGCCCCAAGTCCGCAAAGTCCGTTCGAAGGCATTCGTCTCCAGGATGCAACGAGTTCTCATCAGCCATGCTGACAGTCCTCGGCCGAGAAAGCAGGTTATGATATGTAGTCGCTTAATTGTGAAGGCGCATTGATGAGGTTTCAAGTGCGAGAGGGAGTTAGTGCATACGAGAGTAACCTGGTCTGTAAAAGCAGCGGGAAATTAATCCTAAACTTGCCAAGCCAATGAAGTAAAAGTTTCGAGAGATGCGGTCGGTTGGCTGCGTCGTGTAGTGCATGAGGCTCGAGTACAGCTGCATTGATATTTTCGACGCTGAAAGAACCCCTTTACCTTTTGCTGCACCACGCTCAGCTGCGCCAAGTTGTCAAACGAGAAATTGTCCCGATTGTTCATCGGACGATTACTACACAAAAGCCCTGTCGTGTCGCAGCCAATAAAGTTACCCCAAAACTACCAGGCTCTAAGACGACGTGATGAACGGGGACAATTACGCCTCGAGAGGTTAGTAGTCGCTTCGCAAAGGTGGACTCTTGGCTGACAGTTACAGACTCGGGGCGCTCGAGAGAGCATCACGTAGGCACACCTTTCGGAAAGGACAAGCAAGAACGCCCTAATATTCTCCAGGGTTCAAGATACGACCGAGACGACCGAAGAGACCGCGACCGGGATAGGAATCGAGATAGAGGTGATCGCAGACGCTCCAGATCGCCGCACCATCGGTCATCGCGACGCGAAAACGACAATTCATACTCGTCCAGCAGAGATTACCGCGCTCGAGAAAGAGAGGACAGATACGATTCTAGGCGAGACGATCGTGACTGGAACAGAGATCGGGGTCAGAGGCGTCGCGACGATGACAGACCCCCGAGAAGAGACCGTGACCTGTTTGAAGACAGAAGAGGGGGTGGTGCAGGTGGACGCGGTGGCCGG